TGTGAAACGCGTCTACTGCTCCTCTGTCCCGTCTTGGAGCTGTCATGTTCTTATCACATTGCATGTAAAGGATTTCATCCACCACATTGCTGTTTGTGCAGCCAACCATTCTGTTTTTCCATTGCACTCTTATTATACTTTTAAACGTTTGTACTAGGTGACACATCCAAGAGTTGATCGTCCATTGAGCGATCCATTTATCGAGATTGGAGAGGTAGTGGCCTAGGACCCGAACAAGGTCCACATACACTATAACTTGACTGCAGATCTGCTTTCTTGAAGGAAATGCATTTCGCTTTCTATCCTTTAGAACCTATTCCCACTCCTATTAGTCCGGTGCCTTCATACATATTGGTGCCCCAACAGAGGGAAGCAAATAGGAGATAAGTATGTGCAGCTAGCGAGGACTGGATCATACGTCAGCCTGCCGTTCACGTTGAAGCTTTTATTATACTTACTCTGTAGTCACCAAGCTTTTGTTTAACAGTTGTAGTAAGGAAAACCTGTAGGTAGCCATTACATGATCACTATGAGTACAAGGACACCAGGGCGGTTGCTTGGTGTGTAGCAGCTCGTCAAAGTACAAATGACCGAGAACTGCACACATCGATCACGGCGTTTACGAGGCTCCAACCCTTCACATGTGTGGTTTGTAAAGCTTTGTGTGTGACAGGTTGAAACTTGCCGCAGCTTACTGAACAGGCCCGGCTCAGCAGCTTTGTAAGAACATGTTCCGCTTGTTAGAAAGTCCTAGTATTCGCTTCGGGCGTCTACAAACACTAGTCAGTACTTGCAGGCTGCATTCTACACAATGCGTCTGGAGTTTGTTTCCTTTTTGGGGAACTGATAGAATCTGCTTGTTTTGGCATTGTTGAGAGATTAGTGAATTCCTCGCTGAATGTCAGGCAAGACTTCTATATAAACTGCCATCACAACGGAAAAAACGGGGAAGAATCTATTACTGCAGCACACATAGATGGAATATACTGATAGTCGGGTGACTATTGGGTTAATGTTTAATCAGTTTGCTGCCGAAAGAGTGGCCCTGCAACGTACATTAGCCAATCAATCCTTGGGCTCTGGAAATGTCTATGAGAAAACTGACTCTTTGAAGTTTCTAATTGCAACTATGTAGGTATGCCCACCAAAATGACAATATCCAGGCCTGCTGATAGGTTGTTTTTAGTGGTGCACCAAAATGAAAATTCTGGTGCCGAAAACGAAAATTAAAAATGCATTTGGCCGAAAACCGAAATGCACAGTTTTTTTAAAAAATGAATATATTTTTTTTTAAAAAATATACTTTGATGGAAAAAAAATATATATACCCCAATTGTTTTGTAAAATACGTAAGAGGATGTTACGGTGAGTAAATAGATACCCAACATGTCACGCTTTAAAATTGCGCACTTTCGTGGAATGGCATGAAACTGCGGTACTTAAAAAAAAAAAAAAAAACAAAAAAAAAAAAACAAACTCCATTGGTGATACTTTAAACATTTCTACAGGTTAGCAATGTAAAGTTACAGAGGAGGTCTAGTGTGAGAATTATTGCTCTTGCTCCGATGTTCATGGCGATACCTCACATGTGTGGTTTGAACACCATTTACATATGTGGGCATGGCCTACGTATGCGTTCACCATTATGTGTGCACAGGGGGATGGGGGCACTTTTTGTAAAATGATATTAAGGCGAGTAAATAGATACCCAACATGTCACACTTTAAAATTGCGAACGCTCACGGAATGGCCTCAAACTGCGGTACTTAAAAATCTCCATGGGTGATGCTTTAAAAATTTCTACAGGTTAGCAATGTAAAGTTACAGAGGAGGTCTAGTGTGAGAATTATTGCTCTTGCTCCGACGTTCATGGCGATACCTCGCGTATGTGGTTTGAACACCATTTACAAATGTGGGCATGGCCTACGTATGCGTTCACCATTACGTGCGCACAGGGGGATGGGGGCACTTTAAATTTTTTTATTTTTTTTTAAATGTATTTAGTGTTTCTTTTTTTTTTTGTGTTTTTTTTTTCTTTTTTTGCACTGTTCCTTTTAAAAAAAATTGTAATCACTTTTATTCTTATCACAAAAAATGCATGCATCCCTTGTAATGCAAATAATTAGTGACAGGTCCTCTTTTGGAGAGATACGGGGTCAATAAGACCCCACATCTCTCCTCTGCACTGTAAAGCATTAGATCAAAAAAAGCATTGATTTAGTGTTTTAAAGGGAAAAAAATGGCTGAAACTGGAGGTGACATCGTTCCAGTCCTCCAAGGGCATAGAGATGTGTGGCGGCCATCTCTCCTTTGGCGGGTTTTTTTTCAGCACCTGTATCGGTGCATTTTTTCATTTCGGTTTGACTGCCGAAAGGGGTGTTTTCGGGTGAAATGTATTGGTCATCGGAATTTCGGTGCATCCCTAGATGTTTTGCTGTGAGAGCAGGGTGTGTGCCTAATAATCAGCGATAAGATATCGGGGAAGCTCACTGCTGCCAGTTGTAGTTAACGTTTTGTCCTGTACTTAACAGGTAAAATTCATATGAGAACTATGTTGCATGTGATTTAGGCACCCCTGCTGGACAGCATAGTCAGTCCCTTAACCAAACTTTTTTGTACTTTTTGCAGAGCACAGCTTTGTTGCAGGTCTGTTTATAGTCTGTTATAGCCTGTGATAAGATAATGAGGTAGTAATTGCTAAATGATGAGGTCAACCCTGATGTCATCTTGTGTTGGCTTTATAGGCAGGCATCAGAAACCAGACAGGTACTGATAAAGTGCTAAATCTATTCCTACACGGTAGAAAGCGAGGAGAGGGAGGGGGGATGGAGGTGCGTGAAAGACCAAGTGAATTAGTTGAGGACTAAATTGTCCAGTGCTTATCTGCTCCTGTCCTAATTTATCATTCTAGCTTTGAATGTGCGCACACTGGAAGAGACTCACGCTGACACACAAGTTCAGTCTATGAACACTTCTAGTTTATTATAATGAGAAAGTGAGCTTATATATGCAAAATGATGCAAGAGTCATGTGAGAACAGCATAAGCATTATATTAGTCTTTGATTGGTCATTTCCACACAAAAACAATCTCCGTCATGGTATAGGTTTGATCTTCTTCCAAGTCTTATCTTATAGAAAGAAAAACATTCCTTTGTCTCAAGTTGGCATGATGGGAGGGGGTCGGTGCGTGTGAGCAAACATTTTTTTAAGCAAGGATTTCTTAAAGTACCACAAAGCCCAGCAGGTGGAAAATAATAATATATATATATATATATATATATATATATATATATATATATATATATATATTCAATAGGAAACCAAATAGGCATTTTACCATATCCATCACACAAGGAGGGCCACCCGTATACCACCATCCCCCAAGAAATAATAAACATGCCCGTTCAAAGTGCAACAGAGTTTCAGTATTTGGTCTAGCTTCAGTAGCAGAGAGAAGCTCAAGCCATATATCCCATACCTTGTGGAATTTTTTGGGACATCCATGAGAAAGATACTATTTTGCCAAATGTATTGGTACATCTGCCTTTTACATGCACATGAACTTTAATGGCATCAGTCTTAGACCATCAGGTTCAGTATTGAGTTGGCCCACCCTTTGCAGCTATAACAGCTTCAACTCTTTGTGAAGGTTTAGGAGGGTGTCTATAGGAATGTTTGATCATTCTTCCAGAAGCACATTTATGAGGTCAGGCACTGATGTCAGATGAGAAGGCCTGGCTCGCAGTCTCTGTGCAGGCCAGTCAAGTTCCTCCACCCAAAACTCGGTCATCCGTGGCTTTCCGTTCCAAAAAGGACGTTGCTTAGTGCACTGGTGTGCAGTCATGTTGGAACAGGGAGGGTGCATCCCCAAACTGTTCCCACAAAGTTGGGAACATGAGATTGTCCAAAATGTCTTGGTATGCTGAAGCCTTAAGAGTTCCCTTCACTGGAACTAGGGGGCCAAGCCCAACCACTGAAAAACAACCCCACATCATAATCCCCCCCTCCACCAAACTTTATACTTGGTACAATGCAGTCAGGCAAGTACTCTTCTCCTGGCAACCGCCAAACCCAGACACATCCATTGGATTGCCAGAGAGTGTGATTGGTCACTCCACGTCTCCACTGCTGTAGAGTCCAGTGGCAGCGTGCGTTACACCACTGCATCCGACGCTTTGCATTGCACTTGGTGATGTAGGGCTTCGATGTAGCTGCTCGGCCATGGAAACCCATTCCGTGAAGCTCTCTACACACTGTTGTGCTAATCTGAAGGCCACACTAAGTTTGGAAGTCTTTAACTGTGCTGACAGTTGACGACTTCTGTGCGCTTCAGCATGCGCTGACCCCACTCTGTTATTTTACGTGGCCTACTTTTTTGTGGCTGGATTGCTGCTGTTCCCAGTTGCTTCCACTTTCTTATAATACCACTAACAATTGACTGTGGAATATTTAGTAACAAGGAAATTTCACAGATGGACTTATTGCACAGGTGACAACCTATCACGGTACCACGCTTGAACTCATTCAGTTCCTGAAAGCAACCCATTCTTTCACAAATGTTTGTAGAAGCAGTCTGCATGCCTAGGTGCTTGATTGTATACACCTGTGGCCATGGAGGTGATTGGAACACCTGAATCCAATGATTTGGAGGGCTGGCCCAATACTTTTGGCAATATAGTGTATGTCATTTTGTACAACGGTATCACCAAGTTAACCAGTTTCTTCCAGCAGTCCAATGAAGGAGGCCTTTCTGATTTCCCAGCTAATAGAATTGTCTTTCTGGCATAAAAAAAAGTAAACTTAGAAGGACCCTGGTGTCATCCTTAATAAATTCCTGCATAATGGAGTAAATATACATGTTTCATTGATAAGCATTCAAAATAAAGGTTTCGATTATTGCATAAGCCTAGTCATGACTGGTTCTCTTTAAGGCTAGTTGCAATGACATCATCCTAGGTTGTTGGAGCCTCCACAAACCGATTTTATGTTTTGCCCATAGTTGCTCTTCTGGCACTGAAACGGAAGAAGCGGTACGAGAAACAGCTGGCGCAGATTGACGGGACACTGTCTACTATAGAATTCCAGAGGGAAGCCTTAGAAAATGCCAACACAAACACAGAAGTCCTCAAGAACATGGGCTTTGCAGCTAAAGCTATGAAGGCCGCTCACGATAACATGTAAGTATTGTCACATATAAGTGATGAGTTCTGCTTATCCTAGAGATACCCAGTGGGTAACTTGGTAACTGATTGCAAATAACATTTGCTCCCTCTAGTGGCTGTTCTGCAAATTTCTATATTTAACACCGTGACAAACATATGGAAGAGAAAGTATGTAAAAATGTGATGGTTACAAAAACTGCGAACAATACCTAAAGAACTCTGGGATAGGCAAGAAACAAATCACCCATTAGTACAACCACCTATGCAAAACACTAAACCGTTAACACGATTTTGAAAATCCATACCATTTAGGAGAAAAGTCTAATTGAATTTTCATGACCTCATCTCTGTCATTCAAAATATAACTGCTCTGCCAAGGGGGATTACATCATATCCTCTCTGCAGTAACAGGAAACTACACTTCCCATCAATCACAGGGAATTGCAGTGAATGTGGGTGGGTACACTAGGCCTGTACATGTTGAATGTGTCTTGAGAGTCTTGGTCCGCCCACCACTTCAAGTGGGGCTGGATGACATCACTGCTTCCTGGAGAAAGAACTACAGAAGGGATGTGCCAAGATCAGTGGCTGGGGGAATATGAGGCATAGCCACTGGTCTTACAAATGAGAAACCAAGGAGAATTCACAGTTTGATTTGAAAATGAATAGGCTATTTCAGAGCAACCACTGAGTGAACCAGAAGATGGGTGACATATTCAGTGAAGGTAGGAAATCAGCAACAAGGACATGTAAAGAAGTTTTTGCCCAGAATTCTGCTTTAAATAATTCCATTATGCTTCTCTCTGCCTTCAGGAATTATGCCTGTGGCCTATCTCTTTAAAACCCTACAAATCACAAAAACCTATTACATGTGTCACTATTAGTCATTTTTTATAAAAAAATATATTTCATTTAAAGTAAAAGAAATTGCTTCACTAAAACCTAACTGGTTGCATTTTGCTTCCCCATTGTCTTGATCAGGGTGGATTTGATTTAAATCAAACTGATTTAAATCATGATTTAAATCACTAGTCAGTAAGGCTTGATTTAAATCCTAGTTTTCTACATAAAGACTAATTCTTGCTGGTATAACTTTAATATGCAAGTAGATGAAGATTTTTAGAATAACAACTTTTCATATTAGTTTTTTTATCCCCAGTTTAATAGGTTAATCATTCATATTTGGACAACTTTTCTAACTTTTTACTTAGGAAGGAGAAAAATAATCATTACCTTAATAATAACAATTTAAATAGATTTATTCATCTGAAACAATAACATTCCAGCATATGTGATTTGCTTAAACATCCATGTTTGGTAACTAATTTGGCTAAACAAAATATATATATTTTAAGAAACTTAGACTGTCAGCCCCTTCCTCCTCACACTTAGTTTCACTTTCTTCTTGTGCAGATCTATCCACTCCAAACAATCAGAAAAATATTGTTTCTATTCTATTCACTGAATTTCTTGAAACTTAGCACTGAAGGGGTTGATTCTGTATTCATAGGTTTGTAGAAGTTAGGATGAAGGTCTTTTTCTTAACTCTGTTCATGTTATAACATTTTTGCTGTGAAGAAGAGGCATGTGATCTCCGCTGAGTCAAATTCAGTTTTCAGAACTGCAAAAGTAAACCGAGCATCTGTGATAATATCTTGTAGGCAGAGAAACTGCCCAATAATCTTACAAAAACCTCTGGAAGAGCATGACATTGTGAATGGATTCATGGAATTTATTTACCAAAACAATTAAACATATACAGCCTTATTCTACATAATTAAAAAACTCATCTTTATTTCATGATGAAATAACCTTTGGATGGTAATATATTTCCTCAAAAAGCATTTTATTTAAAAAAATCCGATTTTAAATAAAAAAAAATCCGATTTTTTTTTTTTTTTTTTTTTTTTTTTTTTTTTTTAAAAAAACATTGATTTTTATCCGCCCTGGTCTTGATACTCCTCACAGAGATTTTCTACTTAATTGCTATCAAAATGCACATTTTTTTTTTTTAATTTTGTATGCAGTATCATGACAGCAAAGCTTTGAGTTGTCTGTGTCCTGTGGAGCACTGCTATTTGCTGCAGCGACATGCACAGTGGTTCCAGTCTCCCGTGGTCCCACATGCTCCCTGTCCAGTGCTCCCAGCCACCAGTGCTCACACTTCCTGAGCAGCATTGTTGATTGGAGAACTGGGCAGTGAGCATCTCGGATCACTGGAGCCTCAGATTGCCGTGCTGTGTGTTGAGCAGGGGTCCGGCTCTCTAGTGTGCAGCTAGCTCAGTATTTTAATTTTGGTGCAGCAAATAGGGATGGTGCTTAACCCCTTTTGCGCCTAAGGGTAAAACAAATCTTAACGCCTAAGCACAATTTTGCAATCTTGACGTGGGTTAGCAAAACCGTACATATCATCACAACTACTTTGTGCATCCAGGTGAATTATCCTTGTCTTTTTCAGGACAACTTGGGCTTTCATTTGGTAGTAATTGGTAATGGATATCTCCTGATTTGCTTTTTTATCAAAGGACAACTGTCCCAATATGGTAAAAAAAAACACCCCTTTTTGTTTTTTTCTTCATACCACTTGGCAACTGCGCTCTAGTCGAATGACGGCTACAGCACGATTACCCAGTTCTGGGAGGGTGTCGTATGATGGATACAGCTGATCACGTGATGAGGTAAAAGGCCAATCACAGCGGCCTTTTACCACACGATCAGCTGTGTCTAATGGCACAGCAGATCACGGAGTAAATACAGTTGACGATTATTGGCAGCACTTTGCTGATAACCGTCAGCGGTCACAGAAGAGATCGGTACTGATCATCAGCACAAATCTTGATCTAGGTTTTTTTTTTTTATATTTATTTATTTATTTATTTAACACACTTGTTTTTTTTTTCTCTCTGAAAGGAGAGAGAGCGAGCGCGAGCAAGAGAGGAAGAGCGAGAGATACAATGCATCTATCCTCCATTCAGAGAGAGAAAACACAGGGGCAGACTTCACAGTGACTGATCACTGTGATAGCCAATCAGAGGCTATCACAGCGATCAGGTGACCTGGAATCAGGAGTTCTGGGTCCCAGTTGTTACAATGGGGCCCAGTGCTCTGTTAAGAGCGCGCTATCCGTACGAGTATGCAAATTAGCAGCCTCGCGGCATAAAGCCCAATGCAATGGGACCGTTAATTTGCGTACCATCGGCGTGAAGGGGTTAAGCAGAAAGGCAAAAATTCAAGGCTCTGGTACACTACTTGGGCCCAGAGGCTGCACAGGAATAAAATCGGTTCTATAAGAAGTTGCCTGCACTTCACATTTCTTCCTACCTTTTTAGGTCCGTTCAGTTTCACGGGCATTGTGGCGCATGGCATCTGATGTCACTCTTGTTAACCCAGCCTAGTGCACTTTCAACTATAGAGCCCTCTACAATGGCCGATGGACAAAGTGGTGGGCGGAGAAAGTAGTGGTAACATCAGCTGCCATGGGTGGTGCAGATTTTGAGAATTTTGTAACTCATGTTCTTAAAAATTTCTAAAGTTTATATACCAATTACACTATTGGAATCTTTACCAATGGTCTTTGATGTATGAGAAACCGGTCTTTTACTCTGGTAAGCTGCTTACCTCTAATTTGGGTGGAGGGGTTGATCACTTATGCTACTAAACCCCGGACCCTGCATTCACTATATCCAGTCTCCCCGGACCCTGCATTCACTATATCCGGTCTCCCCGGACCCTGCAGTCACTATATCCGGTCTCCCCGGACCCTGCAGTCACTATATCCGGTCTCCCCGGACCCTGCAGTCACTGCAGTCACTATATCCGGTCTCCCCGGACCCTGCAGTCACTATATCCGGTCTCCCCGGACCCTGCAGTCACTATATCCGGTCTCCCCGGACCCTGCAGTCACTATATCCGGTCTCCCCGGACCCTGCAGTCACTATATCCGGTCTCACACAGTACACACAACATGGAAATGCAGTTATTTTAGTAAATATAAACTGCTAAATACCTTTTCTCATCAGCAGTATATAGCCGTCTTGTGACTTTTATCAGTGTTCAGCCGAGCACTGGTTAAAGCTTGTAGGAGGAGTTTTCTTTCTGATCTAGGAGGATGCAAAACCCCTGACCTCTGTCTGGACAGTACTGATTGGCCCTGTGCTGATCACGTGCACTCTCCCAAGAAAAAAAATAGAAATCTCTCTAGCAATACACACTAACCTGAGCATGTGCAGAAGGGCTACAGTTTCAGTCTGTCTTATCAGTGTGGACATTTGAACAAGAGGAGGGGCAGAGAAAACAGGATCAAACAGCCTTTTTATACAATGCAGAGGATTAACCCCTTAGGTTCCACAGTGAGTATATTACGCATGCTTTACTGCATATACAGACTGATTTTACAGTTCTGGGTTTAGTAACACTTTAATGGTTTAAGTGGATGGAACTGCTTAAAGTGATACCAAAGACAAAAAGGAAAAGGTCATACTTGCCTGCTGTGTGCAAACATATTGCAGTAAAAGGTCAGTTACCTCCTGTTCTTGCAGTCCCCCTGGCGCTGTCAAGCTACTCTGTCCTTTAGGTGTCTCCTGTAGCAAAGCAGGTGCTAAGGCTCCCGAGCGTTCACACTCCTGTCAGCTCCTAAGCTGGGCTGCATGTGTCTAAAGACACACACAACGCCTGTAAGCCACGCCTCCGGTCCCTCCTCACAGGAGTTTGACTGACAGGAGCAAGAGCCTATGACTCCGCTGCCTTTAGTTTCTCCTGTGAAAGCAGGAAGTGAGGGGAGCAGTGACAGGAGCCAGGTAATGTTTATGGACAGAGGGGGTAGGACAGTTAGTGGGGTGTTTTTTTTCTTTAGTGCACAGAATACATTAATGTAATATTGAGGCTTTAGAAATAATTTAAGTGATGAATTTCTGGATTCCACAGTAGTATACCTGAGAATATTATTAATGGCGCTACCTGGATTTTTCTTTTATTTATTGTATCTAAATGTGTATAACTCTTAATAGGTGGGCTGCTTTGTTCTTTGGGTTTATCTGTTTATAAAAATGCTATGTGTTTGTCCACAGGGATATTGATAAGGTGGATGAGCTAATGCAGGACATCGCAGACCAGCATGAGGTGGCACATGAAATCTCAGATGCCATTTCCAAGCCTATTGGTTTTGGAGAGGAGTTTGATGAGGTGAGTAAAAAAACAAAAAAAAAAAAAAAAAAAACTTAAACCTGAAATTGCGATATGAATGGAATAGCCAAAGTAAGCATACTAAATCGGCTACAGATTCTCTTTATGTGAAACCTAACACAGGAGTGTGTGCCAGCAGGGTCTTCGCCAAATTTTGGTAAGCGTTCTAGATGGCAGGAAACCCAAAATCTGATTTCTACTAAAAAAAAAAGAAAATAAAAGGTCTGGGGCTCTCTACCTTTTTTAGGGCCAGTTCACACCAGTGCGTTTATCTGCATTTAAGCGCAGCTGTTAAAGACAGATCAACGGAATAACATCTGAAAAACAATCATTTTCCAATGTTTCTGATTCGCACCATAATGCTGCGTTGACCTGCATTGCGATAAAATGCAACATGTATGCAACATGACAGATGTAAGCAGACATCAGTGCAGTGTACAGGATATCCTATAAAAATGCAGTATGCTTTATCACATGCAAAAAAATGTATCTCATAGAACAGGGGTGTCAAACTCCATTTCATCGCAGGCCGTATTCTCATTATGGTTGCCCTCAAAGGGACAATTGTATCTGTAAGACTGGATGTCCAGAGCACCCCACCCCCCATTACATCAGATGTCAAGAATTCCACACCCTCCCAAACATCACCGTGCACCCCCGTTGGGGGGCAGAGCTGGGAAGTAGAAAATGCAGGGTCTGGAGAAGGACCAGAGGAGGAGTGGAGTCAGTTACCAGAGTCTGCTGAATGCTGAGACCAGGGGAGGCGGAGATGAGGGGTGCTGCAGCTGCACCGAGAGGAGTGGCAGAGGAGTTCTGTTCTCCTCTCGACTGCTGAGACAAGGTGGGGGAGGAGACAAGCGGGTACCTGCACGAGAGGTGCAAGAGCCATAGGAAATGGCCTGGAGGGCTGGATTTGGCCTGCGGGCCTTGTGTTTGGCACCTGTGTCATAGAATGCATGAAGGTATAAAACCTTCAGCTTTTGCGACCACTTTAAATCATACTGAAAAGGTATATCCACTTTCTGGCTGAGGGTGACAACGCTTACCCATGTCAGCAGCAGCTGCATTGTTGTCCTTTCACTTGGGCCCCTGAGTTGGACTAAAAGAAGCACACTGGGCATTGGCACATTCTTCTGTAGTCACTGCATTAAAACTGTGACATTTAGTTGCTGCCGAAGGAACGCACACCCACAGAAAGCTCATATACGGAAAATCTACGTCTTGTAGAGACAAAACATGTACAGAGGGGAAAACTGTTTTTGTGACAAGACTAAGGCTACGTTCACACTAGTGCAAGCGGCAGACAGGCGTTTGGGAAGCGTTTTTACCGTTTCCCAAACGCCTGTGAAAATTCTGCACATTGTAGCACATGGTGCTGTTCACAAGGGAACGTTAGTGTCACGGCAAAACGGAAGGCTCTGGTCGAGTCAGGAGGAGTTGAAGCCTCCTATTCAAGTCTATGGTGCCGCTCCGCAAACGCCCGGACAGCGTTTGCGGAGCGTTAACACCATTCAAACTTCCTTATAGGCGTTTGTGACGCTTGGCAAACGCAGCTAAACCGCGCATACGGAGCGTTAAAAAACGCTCCGCAAACGCCAGACCAACGCTTGTCAAACGCTATAGGGGCGTTTGGCAAGAGCTGGAAAAATAGTCAAGTGTGAACGAGCCCTAAGTATTCTATTGTGGGAATTTTTACAGCTGATAGTAAAATGGTCAGGTGGTACATGAAAGTCTGCTAAACTCCTACACCTGCATTTATGGCCACTTTTTTTTTCTCTCCCAACTTTTCCGGTACATCCTGTGTTGTTTTTCAAAAACCTTCCCCGGTCCTGATTGCATAAGCCACATCTTCTGCAGCAAATGAACCCATTTAACCTGCTATACACCCAATTAATATCCTCTTCCAGGGTTTTGCTGCTCATATCAGTAGACTGGATTAGTTTGTTTCATGCACTGCATAAAAACTAGCAATTACTTGATAAAAACACAGGAATGCTTAATGGATGTTTGGTCTTCTAATTCCCAACACTTCTAACTGTCAGGCATCTGCACTGTAAAAGCATTACATGAGCGCAGGCTACAGACGTCAATGTCAGGTCTCCTGTAACGCTGTGCCACTGTTCTAGAAAGCTTATTTTGTTAGCAGCCATTTGTCATGTCAAATTTATGCAAAGAAAGCCCGGGATAACCCCACTGTGCTGGAACACTGGTTAGAACAGTACAGTATTGCGGGCTGTGGAAGACAGAGCGCATACTCTATAATGATCCACTGGTCTCATTTAAAAAAAAAAAAAAAAAAAGTAGATCAGATGTTAAAATCACTAAAAGCATTGCTAATGTAAAAATAATAAACCTTTTATACATTGCAGCTTACCAGTCCTTAGGTATAGTGTTGGATTAGTTCTCTTTTTTAGGATTTTTTCCCTTTTATTCTCACCTGGTAATGCTACGAATAACACACACTTTCTGTCTGGCTACATTCACCTCTCCACTAGAAGTAGCCATGGTTGTCACACAGGCTGGATTTAGTTGATTGATGGGATCAGTATTTTATATACTGGCTTTCCAGTTCACAAAGTGACAAACTCTGTATTTCTGGCAAGATCAACAGGTGTACTAGAGGTACTTGTCTAAAAAGTGAGAACGAATGCAGACACCCGGTCTAAAGACCAGTAAACTACAATATCTTACATTTTTCCTTTTGGATTTAGATGCACTTAAAGTGGTATTAGATTATTAAATGTATTATTAAACCCCAAAGAAAAATATAATAAATTGCAGCTTACCGATCCTTAAATGTGGTTCTATTTTAATTTGGTGATCTGGCCAGTAACACACTTCCTTTCTTAGGGTAGGTCAGGTCTATGGGACGCAGTGGCTGTACAGATGTGGCCACTGCTCCCAATTTGACTTTCAAGTGGGTGCTTGTCTCTGAATTTACACTGTCTGCATTCAGGGCACCGCACGCACATGGATGTTAAATTGGGAGCGGCGGCTGTATCCGCGTATCTGCTGTGTCCCAATAAACATGAATGGGACTGCCAGCATGCAGATGCACTGAGCACCTGTGCATCCCATGCGGGCAAACAGGCCCTTCTCACAAATATTCCCCTAAAGTGGAACTATACTCATTGCTCCAAAAGAGTCTTGGAGCTCCTCAATGGCCGCTGACATCTTCTAGTGGCTGGCCTCTGGGTACTGAGTGCCAGCCGCTTTAATTGGTCGAGCCAGTATGACATCACTCTCATGCATGCATACATTGGAGTGTGGTCAGATTCGGCATTTGCCGAATTTGTACAGTCAGCTGTGTGTGTGCGCAGCTCACTGTACAGGGGCAGACAGGCAGGTGGGTAATTTTAATTCAGAACAGACAAAGCATGTCTCTTATGCATGAAAAATCCTGCTTGTTCATATTACATTTTTGTGCATTTTGTTCATAAAGTTCCACTTTAAGTACACCCCTGTGAAAGAGGCCTAAGAATTGATAAGCCGCAATAATATTACATTTTTGCTTTTGGGTTTAAAAAGCTTTAAATTTGCCTTTCAGTCATAATTGATTCTTAAAATGCATACCAGTCACACAGCTCACCTAAGCTTAGAGCTTCAAGGAAACCTGTATGTACAGCCGTGGCCAAAATTTTGAGAGTGATACAAATATTAATTTTCACAAAGTTTTCTGCCCCAGTTTTTATGATGGCAATTTGCAATTAAATGCTATTTATGGATCACTCTTCATAACATTCAGGAGTACATGCAAAGTCCCTCTTTACCATGAAAATGAACCTAATCCCCCCCCTCCCCCCAAAAAAAAAAAAACCCTTACATTGCATTTCAGCCCTGCCACAGATGGACCACCTGACATCGTGTCAGTGATTTTCTCATTAACACAGGTATTAGTGTTGATTACAACAAGGCTGGTGATCAGTCTGTCGTGCTGATTGAGTAAGAATAGCAGACTGGAAGCTTTCTAAGGAGGATGATGCTTGAAATCATTGTTCATCCTCTGTTATCCCTGGTTACCTGCAAGGAAACAAGTGCAGTCGTCATTGCTTTGCACAGAAAGGGATTCACAGGTAAGTATACTGCTGCTACTAAGATTGCACCTAAATCAACCAAGAACTTCACAGAGAGTCTCAATTATTGTGAAGAAGGCTTCGGGGTGCCCAAGAAAGTCCAGCAAGCTCCAGGACCATGTCCTAAAGTTGATCCAACTGCGGGATCGGGGCACCACCAGTGCAGAGTTTGCTCATGAATGGCAGGAGGCAAGTGTGACTACATCTGCATGCACAGTGAGGTGAAGCCTTTTGGAGGATGACCTTGTGTTAAGAAGAGCAGCAAAGAAGCCACTTCTCTCCAGGAAAAACATCAGGGACAGACCGAAATTCTGCAAAAGGTACAGGGATTGGATTGCTGAGGACTTGGGGTAAAGTAATTTTCTATGATGAATCCCCTGATTGTTTCGGGCATCCGGAAAAAAAACTTGTTCAGAGAAGAAAAGGTGTGTACTACCATCAGTCCTGTGTCATGCCAACAGTAAAGCATCCTGAGACCATACATGTGTGGAGTTGCTTCTCAGCCAAGGGAGGGGCTCACTCACAATATTGCCTAAGAACACCGCCATGAATAAAGAATGGTACAAAAACATCCTCCGAGAGCAACTTCTCCCAACCATCCAAGAACAGTTTGGTGACAGACAATGCCTTTTCCAGCATGAGGAGCACCTTGCCATAAGGCAAAACTGATAACTAAGTGGTTTGGGGAACAAAACATCGAAATTTTGGGTCCATGGCCAGGAAACTCCCCAGACCTTAATTCCATTGAGTACCTGTGGTCAATCCTCCGTGAACAAAACCCCCCCAAATTCTGACTTATGCCAGAATGGGCTGCCATCAGTCAGGATGTGGCCAGATGTTGATTGACAGCATGCTAGGATGAATTGCAGAGGTCTTGTTAAAGAAGGGTCAACACTGCAAATAATGACTCTTTGCATAAACGTAATGTATTGTCAATAGATGCCTTTGACACTTATCAAATGCTTGGAATTATACTTCAGTATACCATAGAAACATCTGACAAAAAGATCTAAACAGCAGACTTTGTGAAAATTGATATTTGGCATTCTCAAAAAACTTTTGGCCACGACTGTATTATAGCATAATACAGAGGATACCATTACTGATCTCCTGAAAATGGAGGCACAGATCTGGAACAAGCTTGCAATTTATCAGTCTTAATCTGTCTGCTTGTTCTAGGTCAGTAGGCCTAGAATCTGCTCTATAGGCTTTCGGGGCCTGACATTTTCCTAGTCAAACAAGGCTCTGAGACTGAAAGTGTAAAGCAAAGGAAAGGTGTGGCCCATTGGTGATTGTGAGGAAAGTTTTCCGTGTGCTGGCCCATTGGTGATTGTCACTTTAGCAACTGCTGGCCCATTGGTGATTGTGAAGACACCATTATATGTAACTGCTGGCCCATTGGTGATTGTGAAGACACCATTATATGTAACTGCTGGCCCATTGGTGATTGTGAAGACACCATTATATGTAACTGCTGGTCCATTGGTGATTGTGAAGACACCATTATATGTAACTGCTGGCCCATTGGTGATTCTGAAGACACCATTATAATTGCCTCTTTCAGTGCTTTATGGCTTTTTCGATATGGGGATTTTAAAAAATATGAAAGATTGGAAGGGTTAAATAAAAGCACTGAAGGAGGCAAATGTAACTGCCCCCTCCATCCTACAGCATCCAAATGTTAAGTCCCCTTTCCACAGTGCTTTCCCCCCCATGCACACTGCATTTGCCTGTTTACACAAGATATAAATCAGAAATGATGTACTCCCCTTACACTTGGCTGGATGAACTATTACTGTTGCCCCTTTTTAGGAGTACTTTTTTACCAACTGTCTTTGTTTCCAGGATGAGCTCTTGGCAGAACTGGAGGAACTAGAACAAGAAGAACTAGATAAGAACCTTTTGGAGGTTCATGGTCCAGAAACTGTGCCGCTCCCAAACGTGCCTGCAGGTTGTCTGCCTGCAAAGCCAGGTAAACATTTTATCTCCAAAGACTTAACTTCGTGCAAAGGGCATGTTGTGTTACATTCTGAAGGTTTTCCCATGTGATGTTCATTTTTTTTTTTTTTTTTAATTATTTCAAGAGAACAACCCATGTGGAGCCCCCTTGGATCCTAAGAGGGGTATGAGTTAGCACTGAATTAGCCTGAAGTTGAGGCCCCATGTGCCGCCTTGGCCTGGGATCCATGAGGTCACCACATGGGAGCAGGGATTAGTTTAAAGACAGACACAAGTACTTGCTGGCACTTCAAGGTTTCTCCTGTTCAGGACTATTTCCTAGGAAATGTTTTGAATAAGGACTTGTTCACTTGACATGCTGTTGCAGCTTTTTCCCAGATTGTAAGGAGAAGAGCGAAGAGCTGTTTGTGGAAAGAAGGGTGGAAATAATTTAGGCTGCTTATTTGGAGTTTGCTGCTAAGCTGCCCCCATTCATTCCTATTGAATGGCTCTCTGACCAGTAGGATTGTGTAAGAAGACCTAAAGCATTGCCCGCCTTATAAGTTCTGGTTGTCATAACAGCATGGCTTTAGAGGCTGCTGCAAATATCTGCAGACCCCTTTAGGCGCCACTTTATACTGTACCTTCAGCAGTTTTTTACATAGCAGGCATTTTAAGGTGATGACTTTGGCAAGTAAAGTAGTGGACTTTACGTCCCAGGACCATAGAACTTCGAGTACCTGGCTTAGGGGTTTTCCTTAGGCCTCTTTCAAACAGATGGCAGGCTTTACTACCCTCTAAATATTGATCTGCAGTGGATTGCTTTTTAATGCCATAGCTGACAGACAATTTTCAGGAGTTCAAGAGATTATACTGCTTCCACCTGTTTTTCGATGCCCAGTTGTATTTATTACATGTACTGCAAATGCCAAGTTAAAATTGCAAAGCATTGCAACTGTGACAATATGAATTTGCCCCTCTGGCCCCATATAAACTTGTAGGCAGGCAATCGTGGGGTAGTAAAAACGCTGACCAACCGCCAATTTTCTCTTCCTCTCAGTTGCCAGCTTGAACTAAGCCTTGGTGTCCTTTTCACACAGGTGTTCGGTTTGTCCCTTTTTCATCCATCAGTTGATGGATGAAAAATGGACAGCAATGCATTCCTACGGGCAAACAGATGTAATCAGTCTGTTTTTTGCATTGGTTTGGGGAGGGGGCGGGTGAAGCATGACACTTTTTTTGTCGTGAGGTCAACGCGCCCCCCCCCCCCCCTCCCTAATCCATACCAGACCCGTATGGATTTGGGAGTGGGGACCTTTTTTTTCTTTTTTAGCTTTTTCTTTACATTCTCTGCTGATGGCAGAAATGACTCATTGTTAGGAAGCCAGTGGGTACCAGATCCTTAAAGCAGAGCTCCACCCAAAAGGGGAAGTTCCGCTTTAAGGACTGCTCCCCATTAAGGATTGGCGCCTTTGGGGGGGAGTGGGTACCAAAATTTGACAGGTACATGCTTCCACTTCTGGTCCAATTGCCTAGACGATCGGAAACGGAATGTGACCTCCCCCCCCCCCCCCCCCCCCCCCTGTCATCTTTTGGGACACGTGACAGGTCCCAGAAGACTACAGGACCACTCATGAAGCACAGCACTACTCGCACATGCGCAGTGGGTACCCGGCTGTGAAGCCGCAAGGTATCACAGCCGGGTGCCCACACTGAATATGCCGGCCTCCTGGAATACAGGATGGCCAATGAAACGGGCTGCAGGGGACATACCGCGGAACCAAGGGACAGGTAAGTGGCTGTTTTTTAAAAGTCAGCAGCTACAGTTTTTGTAGCTGCTGACTTTTATTTTTTGACAGGGTGAGTGGAACTCCGCTTTAACTACGAATGCAAAAATGGACCGTTTGTTCGTTTTTTGCATCCGTTTAGGTCTGCTTCCTGAATGGACAGGGTATAAACAGATGAACATCCGTTTGCCCGTTTTTTTTTTTCTATCCATCAACAAATAGATTAAAAATGGGCAGGCGGAACACCCGTTTGAAAGAACCCTTCCAATGCAGGCAGTTATTATCGGTATGAGACCTGCAAAGTGGCTGGCAGCTGTTGGGCACTGGACTAGTTGTTGCATGACTGCCACTTGGGTGGGGGTGCCTACTATGCAGAGGAATTGCAAGACTGGACAGTAAAGTCTCTGTTTAAAGTACTTGTATCAAATAATACATTCTGTCTTCGTTTTTTGTTTTAGTAGCCAAGAAGAAGCAAGAGGAGGATGATGACGACATGAGAGAGCTTGAGAACTGGGCTGCTGTGTAGATGTGTCACACGTTCATAGAGACTGAACACCTGCCTGAGTTGGGTGTCACATACCTGGGAAGAAAGGGGGAGGGGATACAGAAAAGGACTCCATGTCTCTCTCTTTCTCTTCCCCTTTCTTTTTCTAATGCCTAAAGCCTGGAATGCGCATTCGGATAAACAAACTGAGAACAGCCGGTGCTTAGGTTCAGCCTGATTATGAAACGACAACTAGTTTTTCTTTTCAGTACAATGTCAGATCTGTAAAGCCCCCGCATCTGGCTAATCAACGTCAGACTGCCCACCATTGAGGACACCTGGATCATGGCGTCTTTTAGCTGCTTTGGCCTCAAATGCCTGCGCTCTCGATAAATTTCGGACTCCATTACTTCCCTGCATTGGTAAACGTTCATTCTCCTGTCAAATGGATGCCTTCTATCTCTGTAACATGCCAGCTTTCAGTACGGTGTAACCATCTATTATGTGAGGATCCCACAAATGTCACATATATCGGTCTGTTAGTCCTGAACTGCTCCCCCTAATGGCACAGCTTGCTCAGTTCTTGTGGAGTGCAGTTAAATCATGGCACTCTTTTTTTTTTTTTTTTTTTTTTTTTTGTTTTTTTTTTTTTTTTTTTGTTACTGAGAATGCAACAATTCATCTGAACTGCAGTGATATCCGTGTATAATATGTAGTCAGTATGTCATGTGGCTATATTTATACAGATTCTGAAATATACATACAGATCTTGCACATAAGCTCTTGTGTGTTTACCTATGTATTCCTCTATCAGTATACAAAATATCGATGTACATATTCCAGTTTGAGCGAGTAATACAGGGCACAGGCCTCTAAGTGGGCTCTTATTTCTTCACACAGGTTATGCAGGAGGACAAAACCAACAGCTGTATTTAGTCACTGGGTCCATTGAAAGTCTATGGCAGCCAATAAGGTTCTCTGCCCTTTTCTTACTTGCACTAGAAAAATGGCACTGGAACCGGATTGGTTGTTCCAGTTACTGTTTGCGCATATTTATTTTTTGTAATAGCCTCTGGGTTCTTTATCAGTTTCTTCTGTGAATAAGCTAGCTTATGTTTGGTCAACTCAACAGGCTTTGAGGCCTATTTATGAAAGCAAAATGGAGCTGTGGATGATAGCAACCAGGCAAATTTTTTTTTTTTTTTTTCATTTTTAATTAGAAAATTTGGTTGCTGTGGATAATAGCACCACTTTTGCTTCCATTTTCATAAATAAAATGTTTTGTGCAATTCCGAAGTGGATATGGTCATCGACGGCCTTTTAATTCCCCTCCTGTCAGGGACTCAATTGCTTTTGTGTAGGGAAAAGGTGGCTTCAGTGCCATCTAACACCGCACCAACTGTTCCATTAATCTCAGGCTAGATGCTAGTTCAGGGGCCCTTTCAGCTTCACTGTCATTGATGTGTCTTCCCTTGAACTTGTATTTGGCCAGGAGTCAGATTGGCTGTGTTCACACCCAAGATCAAGAAGACTTCAATTTCCTTTACCGTACATTTCTTGTGTTTTTTTTTTTTTTTTTTTTATTCACACTACACACAGTGTGTTGTCTAACCAGCCAGCATCCGCCATTTTTTTTTTTTTTTTTTTGGTGTGTGCAGGTTAGATAACACAAGTAAGCATCTGCTTGGTTGTCATGAAAACACACACTTGAAATCGAGGCTTGTGAGACTGCGGCGCAGACGGTGGTCAAAGTCGTATCTTGAACCTTCATACCGTGTTTACAAGCATTTGGGAGCCTTTACCATTCACTGCACTCTACCATGTGCTTGGCACTGCCATGGAGAAACCATAACAGAGGTCCTGTTTATCAGTGTGTCTGAGGAATCAAGTCTCATCAGACTGTTTCCACCTACAGCAACCATATTCTTTAATTTATACTTATAATGCATACTTTATAATGCTTTTTGAAAAATCTGTCCTTGGGACAAGTAGCTTGTCCCGGGGCAGTATGGGAGCATCAAGGGAAGCATCTGATTGCTGTGGGGCACTGGAGACCATTCTTGCCCTATAGACACTGTTAAATGAGGCTTTCTATGGTTTGTTGGCAGTGAAGTGGTAAATTAGTTTAATAATAAAGCGTCACTTCCTTCACGTCCAGTGATGTTACTGTTTAGTTTAAAATGATGTGTTTGTTTTTCAAATTTTATGTCTACAGTCAGTAATAGTTTGCACTTTCTAATAAAAAGTCTCTATATTCCTATTATTTTTATGGAACCATTGCCCCTCTTTTTTGCTTAGCCAAGAAACCCCTTTTAACGGTTGATACAATAGGATGTACAGGCCTTGCCCGAAAGCCCTGTGTGTAACTTCTAGACTATAGACATACAATACAGTGAATGACTGCACAACTCTTAGCTATGTTCATGGAGTGAATGTATTTTGCAGTCCTGTATGTCCTGTTTATATAACATTTCCAATTACTTTGAAACTACATTTGCTCTCACCTATGAAATAAAGTATATTTCGAAATGTGATTTTTATTTTTGGTAATGTCCTTGTTAATGCTGTGAAAAAAAATAACAGCTATCGAGACTGCTGAAATCCATAGGCAATACAGTACATTCATAAAGTATTTAGACCCCCTTCACAGGTTTTTAAATTTTGTTATTGCAGCCTGAAACTACAGGTGTTTGCTTTCTTTTTTTCCCCCTCATTATTCTACATTCATTACCCCATAATGACAAAGTAAAAACAGAATTTTAGAAATATCAGAAAAGGTATTCAAAAGAAGAAAAACTTTGAAATATCACGTGTACTTAAGTAGTCAGACTCTTTACCCAGTACTTTGTTGAAGCACCTTTGGCAGCAATTACAGCCTTGAGTCTTTTTGGGTATAACGTGACAAGCTTTGCACATCTGGATTGGGAGATTTTCGGCCATTCTTCCTCAGTTATTAGGACCGTCGATGGACAGCCAATTTCAGGTCTCTCCAGGGTCAAGTCAGGGCTCAGGCAGGGCCACTCTAGGATTTTCACAGAGTTGTCCCTAAGGCACTCCTGTGTTGTCTTGGCTGTGTGCTTAGGATTGTTGTCATGTTGGAAGGTGAACCTTCGGCACAGTCTGAGGTCCTGAGCACTGTGGATCAGGATTTCATTGAGGATATACTTTGCTCTATTCTTCTTTCCTTTAACTCTAACCAGTCCCTGAAAAAAAAAACAACCCCCACAGATCGTTGCTTCCACTGCCATGCTTCACTGTTGGGATGGTACTGGGCAAGTGATGAGCGGTACCTCGTTTTTTCTCCAGACATAATATTTAGAATTGAGGCTAAACAGTTAAATTTTAATTCCATCAAACCAGAGAATCTCACAGCCTTAGAGTCCTTCAGGCTTTTTGCAAACTCCAAGCAGGCTTTTGTGTGTTTTGTGCTGAGGAGAGGCTTCTGTCTATCCACCCTGCCATAAAGGCCAGATTGGTGGAGGGCTGCAGTGCAGTGAACGTTGTCCTATCTCCACACAGGATCTCTGGAGCTGAGAGTGACCGTCAGGTTCTTGGTCACCTCTCTTAGGAAGGCCCTTCTTTCCTAATTGTTCAGTTTAGCCAGACTACCAGCTCTTGGAAGAGTCCTGGTTGTGCCAAACTTCCATTTGTGATTCGTGGAGGCCATGTGCTATTGGGAACCTTCAGTGCAGCAACTGTCTCTGAGCTGTGCAGGCAGTTCCTTTTGACCTTGTAGCCTTTGCTCTGATGCTTTGTCAGCTGTGAGGATTTTTATAGAGAGGAGCGTGCTTTTCATGTCCAATCAATTTAATTTTACCACTGGTGGGCTCCAATCAAGGTGTAGAAACATCTCCACAATCCTCAAGAGAAATGAGAGGCACCTGAACTAAATTTGAAGTGTTGTTGCAAAGGGTCTCAATACATATGCCAATGTGGTATTTCATTTTTCCTTTATCATAATTTTGCAAACCTTTCTAAAACTGTTTTTACTTTTATTGTGGGGCACAGAGTGTTGAATGAGGAGGAAAAACAAAATTAAACAACTGTAGTATCAGGCTGCAACATAACAAAATGGGAAAAAAGTGAAGGGGGTCTAAATGGTGTATGAATGCACTGTATATGGTAATGTCCATGGCACAAGAATCAATACATGTGGGATGACCTGTCTCCATACCCCTGGGAAGTGGGCAGCGGCAACCTGTCTCCATACCCCTGGGAAGCGGGCAGCGGCGACCTGTCTCAATACCCCTGGGAAGCGGGGGCAGCGGCGACCTGTCTCCATACCCCTGGGAAGCTGGCATCGGCGACGGTCACCATACCTCTAGGTAGCAGGCCGCAGTGACCATCCACCATACATCTAGAAAGTAGGCAGTGGTGTCCAGATGCCAAACTCAAAGGAAGAGGCAGCGGTGACCAGTTCCCATATTCCTAGGAAGAAGGCAGCAGCATCCAGTCTCCATACTCCTAGGAAACAGGCAGTAGCAGCCAGTCATTCTGACATAAACTGGTTCCTACTAGAAGACCCAAAGCCAACTATGGAGCAAGATTGTGGAATAGAGGAACAAAAGAGAATTGTTAGAAGCTTGAATCTGTGTAGCGTGAGCCCTACTTTCATGATTATTGAAAGGTGAATTCCAGTTGGCCTATGAAAATTAGATTTTGATGTGCCCCTTCCCCTCTTTATGGGAATATAACATAATAAAACCTTTATTTTTGCTGACCTTGCATCTGGCACTCACCTTTACTTTGGCCCTGGAAAGTGGGCATACCCCAACATCTTCAGGTACTTGTCCTGCATTGTAAGTTATAAAGTGGCTGAACAACTGGAGGAGACCAGTGGTGAATACAGGAACCAGCGTGGAAGAAGCTTGCATGCGTGATAAGGTAAGTATTCCACTTTGTTATATCCCCCCCACAGTAAATGTCCATTACCAGTCTTTGTCATTTTAGATTGTACAATGTGGGAACATAGCTACACTATCAATTCAGTTTGTATCCAAACAGGAAGGCTCTTGCACTACATACTTGTTGGAAGATCTAAA